CTGTTTTATTGTTTTTAATTAGTTTTATTTATTGCTTTCTGTGAAGCACTTTGTGATGTTTGTGTCTGTGAAAGGTGCTGTAGTTTACTTACTTAATTACTTATCGTATTCGACCAGTAGATCCAGGCCGGTTCCCGGTCGAATACGGAGCTCAACCTTACCRGCTCGGCCCGGGACATGTCCACGAGCTCGCTAAGCCTCATTCTAACTCCAGCAGAAGCGGTGGAGGCGGGAGGCGGGAGGAGTTTAAACACATTCCAGCTCCCTCCACTTCCCATTTTGTAAATTCTCTGGCGTAGTTTTGGGTGCCTATTATTTTCACCAGAGGCCTCATGTACAAAGACTTGTGTGGATTTCTTACTGAAACATGACGTACGGTCAAATCCAGAAAACTGTGTGCTCACAAAAACATCCAGATGTGTCAAAGTGTGTGTACGCCTGAATCCACACACATTTGATTTGTTGTTACCAGATCAGCTGAATCAGCACAGAGTTAGCACACTGAAGGCAGTGATGGACAGGTGTTCAGGACAAACAGGTGACATCTTATGGCACGTGCCATAACACCAACAAGAGACATTCAACAAACAAATGGTGATAAAAGTGATGTGACACCTAACACAACACTCAGTCTATGAGATGAATCCTACTGACACACAAATTACAACCAGATGTGGATGTGTGGTTAAACCAGGACAGATCCTGGACCTTTAAACTAACTAAAGCTGTTCAAAAGAAAAACAATGATGTGTGGTGAAAACACTTGTTGCACTCTTTTTGTTTTTTCACTGTTTTGTTAAAAGAGAGATGTAATGTTTTGTTCTTATAATGAACTGTGCTCTTATTTTGAAAAGATTCTGTTACTGGACCGGATGTGGTGCTGCTGGTGATAAATATGAGTGCTGGGAGGGGACAAGGGACAATAAACTGGTGGACGCTCCCATCATCTCTGGAGAACTGGTGAATTAATTATAGATAAGAGGAGACAAGAATCAGGACTTACCTTCATTAACTCAGTCCACGTTTAACATTTAGTTCAGACATGTTTAATACGAAGGTTGGTCACTAACCTGTGCAGTGACATCATCACTGTGTCCTGTTCTTCTTCAGAACGTTCTGTGAAGAAATATTACAATTTTAATTCATTTACCTCCTTCATTACAACAACAACAACATGTACAAACACAAAAACAACAATCACTGTGTCCTGGTTCTTCTTCAGAACGTTCTGTGAAGAAATATTACAATTTTAATTCATTTACCTCCTTCATTACAACAACAACAACATGTACAAACACAAAAACA